CCCCCCCCCCCCCCAAAAAAAATATATATATATATATGAACAGAAAGGAAGAAAATGTGTAAGACTTACAAATGATTTCAGATGCTTCATCCCTAAGAGGATTCGATAGTAGACAGCTCTTCACGTGCACTAGGACAGACATACGAACCTCAACAACCCTATCTGTCAATCTTTTTAGAAACTCGGAGAAAATTGGTCGAAAAACTTCAGATATAGAAGAGCCAGGAAGAGAAAACAGATCTCCGACCAATCTAACAGCCTTTAGACGAGTATCCAGCTGATCAGTCTGCAAAAAATTTCAGCATGGAGAAGAAATAGAAAGTGATCAACATTCTAGAGTACATATTTAATCTCGGTTCTGTTTTTTAAGGATAAATAATTTTTTTATTGATATAATGTAAATGATTAAAAGTTTAGGGGATACAAACTCACAAAGAGAGTGAAAAACAACCATAAAGAGAACACCCCTGAACAAGAACTTTCATGACAAGTAGGTGAATGAATGACCATTAAACTTCCGTGGAATCAGTGCAAAGACAGCAGCTCTTGAACGAATGAAAACAACCAAAAGTATCCTTGGAAAAGAAAACACCTTGAAAAATTAAACTTTATGCTTCAATACTCATGCATATTAATGCAACCTTGAACAAATCGAATTTATTTAATAAACTAGGAGAATAAAAACTTCATCTCCATCTGAAACATGATTCTTTTAAACCCTAAACCTAGAATCATTCCCTAAAACAAACCTACAGGATTTAGAAGAATTGATATTCAAGAATTGCTAACGTTAACATCTCTTTACCTTGCAAGCAAACCCACCAACATGCCAAGAACCTCCCCCGCCCAACTAGTTTTGACAAACAGGAAGCACAATGCAACCTTAGTTCAGTGTTATTCAGTTTTGAAATTTCAAGAAAGGTGCCCCTTGAACGAGAAAATATTTTGATCCATCATGCACCGAAGGATTTTTGTTATGTAAGGTAAAATTCCCTGACATATGGAAGTCGTCTAAGGATATCTATGAACGTAGAACAAATCCATACCAAAGAACCCAGCTCAACTGCATAAGGGCGGAATTGTATTTCCTTATTTCTAACTCTAGTACATCCGTACTTCTTCTAAAAATCAACTTTCAATGATGTATATTGATTCAAGCACCTAAATGCAGCATATTTGCAACTCCTTATAGGACCAGAAATCAAACAGCATTGCTGTTCGGTGGGAGGGGAAGGAAGAACAAAGTGAGAGGAGGAGAAACAAGGGGGGAACTTTAGACTGTTGGAGGAACTAGGATGTCTAAAAACACAAAACAAAACATGCATTTCATTTTGGTTAAAAAAAAAACTTTTATGGAATTTAGTCACTAGTTTGTAACAATTTAATCTTTATAATTTCAAATTTATAACAATTGTTACAAACTTGAAAGAAAGCATAGGGACTAAATTGTTACATGTTAAAGTTCAAAAACTAAACCAGTATAAATTTGAATGTACAGAGACTAATTGTAACACAACAAAGTTCAGGGACCAAATTGTTATTTCTATGAAAGCTCAACGACCAGAAGTGTTCGAAAACCTTCATTTTCAGTTATGTTCAAGCAAGCAATCATATTCAAAAAAACCATGAAGGCATGAAATAACAATCATTAATATATCATTCCACATATGAGATAAAAAAAAAACACAGAGACAAAATAGACAAGTGAAATAGTCACCAACAGACTTTACCAGTAACTCTCCTATGAGATATGCAGCAATTCCTGATAGGATCTGAGGGGCACATCGATATATGTCATAAATAACTTCATGGTAATCAATCAGATTGTATGGTGGTTTGTTTTCTCCTGACATTGAAGTTACAAGAAACTGTTTTACAGCAGCTTCAAGTTTTCCAGCAGAACTCTGTATGACATTCATAGCAAGCTTCCTTGCAGCCGAAGAAACATTCTGGAATTCAGATCATGAAGCATCATTTCTGTAATAGTGTAACTACATATCAGAAAAATTGCAAGTCCTGGTAAGAAGGCTACTTACACTTTTATTGTGACCTAGAGTGGATAATAAAGTAAATAAGAGCTCCTCTCTAATGTCCTCACTCTCCTCCAAGAGAACAACCATTATAGTTTGCATCGACGAGAGAACACTTTCAGGATGATCCTCCCTGCATTGGTCAATTATAATTAAGTACATATAAGATGTCTTGAAAGTTAGAACAGAAAGAAATCTTACCCGGAAAAGAGGAAAGAAAGAAGGATAACAAACTATAACTACAAATGATATTGACATTTGATTGAGGCTAATTATCAACTCGTGAAAAAACATAAGCAGACACCAATATACACCAAATGTCAATTGGAACCAACAGACAAAAACCATTTCCATCTTTTGCAACTCTATGACCAGCAAGACAAAATGATACAATTCAAATAAGAATTCTTTGAATTTAACCCAGGAAAAGGACATGCTAGAGCAAGAAGCTTTTGAAAGGCTCCCAACCTCCCATACAATCTGTAAGTAATGTAATGAAAATCAACCTTTCCCTTACGATATTAATATTCTCTCCTATTCTTACTCTTTAACTACATAAGACTCTCTTCCAATACCACCACTCCTTGTACTCTTCTACAATTACCCGCCACAAGACATTTTCTCACAAGCTTGCTCAATATACCGTCATTCTTGGATCTTCTAGGGTGTGGAAGCATACCATTGGCCTGTGAACATACCTTATCCTGAAGGCAAAAATTATGTTAATAGAGGTGAAATGTTCTAAAGTTGCAATAGATGGACGGGAGTTCCTTCAACTGTATTAATAATACCTCAACAAATATTAGCATTATCCATTGTGTGGACCTCAAAAAAAAACTTTGGTCCTCATGGTAGAATAGTCATCGGTCCCATAAATCCCAAAGCAGAAGAGTGTTTGTTAGCCCCCAAGGTCTTTCTTAACTGGGACAAGATTTGGCTTACAGCCACCTGCCTACTGATGCCTCTATCTTTAATAGAACATTGAACAAATGAACAAATTTGATGACATCTTTTAGCACAAAAACGGTATGGTTGATGTTTGAGGTTAACTCAATTCCATAAAATTGTACATCATACCGTGTAAAGGATATATAATGTCACATTTCCCAGTGTACAATTTCTAACTAGGTCCAGAGCTCCCCTATACTGCATTTCTCTTGAGTAATTATTGGTTTACAACAAAACAGGTGGTGAAGTGACTTCACAAGGAATTATGGGAGAGAATCGTGGCTATAAACTATCAAGGAGAAATCAACTTAGAGCCATCTATGATATACGGTGCTGTACTAAAACTGCAAGGAACCCATTGAACCCACTATAAAAGCTTGTAAAGGGAGTTACATTGAGGGAAAGCCTCTATCAACTGCACAATAGCCTACCTCGTTTTGCCCATGATGCTACACTTTAAGTGTGTACCATGGATTTTGAATAATTCCCTACAAAGCAAGCCAAGGAAGAGCTTACACAAACCATTCATAGTGCATCTATACATCCCATGGTGCCTATAACCTCTTCCACATCACAAACATTCAATAGGATACTTAATAAAGAGAACTCACAAACAATTTATCAAATTCAATACAATTGAAGGTTGAAACCTTGAAGTTGAATAAAAAGAAGGAATGAGATCAAACATATTTGGAGGAACTTTTAATACTCAATGTCCACATCACAGATTGAGTTGGATCATATGAAATATGATTGCAGGTAGATTCTAAATAAGGATCGGAATTTTCAGTGTGCTCATGTTGAAGCTTCGTATAATATCTCTGAGAAGACCTCTCAATAAAGCTCACAGCTTCTCTTCTACTGCATCCAAGCATAATTCCATTTTTACCATTCCAGAAGATCAACTTCTCTTATACCACTTTGATAGGATTCAAAAAGAAATGCTCAATCTCTGATTCCTATTAACTATCAAGCATCACTGTCGTCCTCTTACTTAGGTATTTATCTTCTATCTTTTATAACAAATTGTTGATAACACACTATTCTCCTCTAATGACAAACCCCACCCATTCATGCTCCTCTATAAACACATGGATCTTATAGAGTATGTGATGTGCTTTGGGAACTATCAATAAACCTAGAGCAATTAGACAGTTTACACATTAGGTGGATGACTATATTGAACCAATCAAACCATAGATGAACTTTTATGTGCTAAAAGATAGATGTATATGTGATGCTTAACCCTGCTAGACACAAACCAACATACTGAAAGAAAAGGTAAGCACAAGGACTCAACAATATAAATAATGCATCACTAAAATAAAACAAGAAAGCTCGAAAACAATGAGAATATTGTCCCCATTATTGTATAGTGTTTTTATTGTGAAATAGACGTTGAGACTCACGGTAAACAACCAATAATAATGCACAATACTTGGACTATAATCAAGAACGGGGTGAAATTTGAGAAGGTATCCAATCTCAGCAACTGCTATGACATAACTTGCATAGAGCAAAGATATTAACCAATCATTATTGGACCAATTGGATCATGTTCTCTAGATGCTACTATGATTACTATCACCGTCATTACAAGATGTCCATCAAAGCCAATTTAAATTGAAAATATTGAAACTATTCAATTAAACAAACCTGGCAACGGAAAGAAATGTGCTGAACATTTCATTAACCAGATCCTCACAATCGAGGTCCAACATTACAACACACGACCTGTATCTAGCAAGTGTCTCCAAAATGACAACTCTCCTACCAAATGACGGACCAGTAGTATCATTTAATCCACTAAATGTACCCACTATCAAGTGAAAGATGTCCTGCAAGAAGATGGACTTAAGTTAAACCACCGCATAGTCTAACTAATAAATCAGACTTAATAAGTACACAATCCAGTTCCATTGGCCAGTATTACCTTTAAAACATCATCGCTATAAGGAGCTTCAGGGGCTGTTATTCGTGTTATTTCACAAATACATGTTGCAACTAGAAGTTTGACATCCCTATCTTGGTGTTGAAGCAATTCAGGCTTGATAATTGCGTTAATAAAAGGTTGCATTGACTCCAAAATTGAAGCTGACGGTGATTGATCCAGTTCAGAAAGGTATCCTGCAGCTTGCTGCAAATTGAAAGACGGCAAACCATGAGACACATAAATGATATATCAACCATAGAAAGAGACCATGTAACTAATAACTGTGTTTTCTATTCTTCAATTCCCAGATTGCCTAGGAAGGACCTCATAAATTGCTGTTCTTAGTACCAACGATAAAGGGCACAAAAAACTGAACAATGGGAATTAGCATTAAATTTCCTTAGAGCGTCAAGAGTTGAGAAAGTTTTACTCAGAAGGAGTACACAAAAACTGAACAATTCATAAGAATTTGAAGACAAACGACTCACTGGCAACATGCATGCATTACATCCCAATAAAATCCGACAAATATTCACACAAAAAACCTAGATCCTACTGAATCAAAACTTCCAGAGCTCCATGCGAGACAACTTTGATCGAGAAAATTACTTTTCGCTAATTGTGGACCGGGACGGCGACGGAAAAAAGATCTTCAAGAAAAATGAACAAAGACACTAAAGGGGAATATCTAACCCAACACCCACAATTGAGGACACGACAGTGAAGAACTTTGACTACAGAACAGAATTCTCAAGAATCCCCCATTACAATTCCGGAAAGTACAGAAATCGGAACTGAGAAGTCGAAAATGCTCACTTGAGACGAACGAAAAGAACAAATAAATAAAACAAACGGCTGAGCTAACCATACGACATGAGAAGAAAAAAAGAAGACTGAAACCTTGAATTACTCGAAGCAACACATCCAAATTCCACAAAACAAAAACCAAAACCAAAAATTGAAAGGACGAGTTCCACCTTGCTCTGGTTTCCCAGAACTCTCTCCCCTCATCGAAACAGGGGAAAAAGACAAGCGTGAATTTCCCAAAACTCGGGTAAGAAGAGAGGTGGAAAAGAATCAGAATTAGAGCAATGAGTACCTTCAAGAGCTTAATGAGAGCATCTTTAGTGGTGGGAGGAGTGTGGAGCTTGGATCCCACCTCCTTGAGCTGCTGCTGAAGCTTTTGGGCCATGGCGGAGGGTGAAAGAAACGGTATAGTTTCTGAATCTCAAGAAAGCAGGGGGTCTATCATGGACAGTGAAGAGTGGAATTAAGGATTATTGAAGAAGAAAGGGAGAGGGTTACTTGAAGAAGAACTCTCAAACTCTGAAACTCTCTGAAACTCTCTCAATTTTCTCGCTCTCGTTCTTCGTCCCGCTCTCTTCGCTTCCGTCTCTCAGTGGCGAAATAAGTTCTCAACAAATTTTGGCCAACTATAAATATCTTCCAAGGAAAAACCTCCAAATTGCAAACAAGCCCCCCACTCCACACTACTTAAAACTTCTAAATTGCAAAAACAGCCCCACTCTACTTACCACTTAAAATCAGGGGTGTACATGGTCTAAGTTGGGTCGGGTTGGGAGACTTTTTTTTTTTTAGCCAACCCAAAAGTTTGGATTGGTTGGATTGGTAATCCAACTCTACCTAAAATGTTTATCCAACCCAACCCCAACCCTTATTGTTCGGGTTGGGTTGGTCCGAATTGTCGCGTTGTCGAGAAGGTACACCCCTACTTAAAACTTCCTAATTGTAAAAGGATTTGTTTTTTCTGGTTTGGTCCTTTGATTTCTAGTTTTCACCCTAGAATTACTACTTTTAAAATTAATTAATTAGAAGTTTATTTTTCCTAACTTTTCAAAATTATAATAATTTTTATTGTAAAAAAAAACTGAATTCTTCTTTTGATTGTTTTTTTTTTTTAATTTAATTTTCAATAAATCTTAAATTCAACCCTCACCTAGTTATTTGAAGTTTTTTTTTTTTTTAATTTTATAAAATAATAATAATTTTCATTAAAGAAAAAAAAACATCTAAAAGTTGAAGATTATCTTCCCAAAGAAAAAATAAAAAATCAATTTTTATGTCGAAAATTATAATAATTTAAAAGTATTGCGGTTTTTAATTTTGTTGAAGTTTTTGTTTTAAAAATTATAAATAAAAAAAATAGGTTCAAAAATATTTATATCTCGAACATTTTAGTCTCTTAATTTTTAATTTTTAACTATTTAGTTTGTATACTTGCGTACGACAATTTAATATTATTAATAATAATTTAGTATACATACATGTATCAATTAAGTATTTATCATAAAAAAATCTCATCAAAATTAATTATCAATTATTATTACGTAATGTTAGCTTCTATAGTTAATAAAAAAATGTGTTCCTATAATGGGTAAGAAATTTAATTAAATATTATAATATTATTTTACATAATGAACTAAATCCTTATGAATTGTTGAAACAGACTCATTTGTTAAGACTAAATTATTATAAATTTAAAAATATAGGGACTAAACCGACACGTCTTCCCTTGCATTCTAGGACGGTTCTGAAATAGGGTGGTTTTTTCGCACGGTAGTGAATAAATTATTTCTTGGCATTGGGGTGGGGAATACCCCAACTTGATCACTGGGAGCCGAATTTTGCAAAACCGGCGCGTTTTCGCTTGTGTTCTAGGGCGGTTTCTTCGCTTGGGAGCGAAAAAATTATTTCTTGGTATTGGGGTTGGGAATACCATAACTCGATGGTTGGGAGCCGAATTTTGCGAAACCGGCGCGTTTTCGCTTGCGTTCTAGGACGTTTTTTTTGCTCGGTAGCGAAAAAATTATTTCTTGGCATTGGGGTGGGGAATGTCCCAACTCGATGGTTGGGAGCCGAATTTTGCGAAACCGGCGTGTTTTCGCTTGCGTTCTAGGGCGGTTTTGAAATTGAGCAGTTTTTTCGCTCGTTTGCGAAAAAATTATTTCTTGGTATTGGGGTGGGGAATGCGCCAACTCAATGGTTGGGAGCCGAATTTTACGAAACCGGCGCATTTTCGCTTGCGTTCTAGGACCGTTTTGAAATGGAGCGGTTTTTTCACTCGGTAACGAAAAAATTATTTCTTGGCATTGGGGTGGGGAATGCCCCAACTCTATGGTTGGGAGCCGAATTTTACAAAATCGGCGCATTTTCGCTTGCGTTCTAGGGTGGTTTTGAAATTTGAAATGGAGCGATTTTTTTGCTCTGTAGCGAAAAAATTATTTCTTGGCATTAGGGTGCGGAATGCCTCAACTTGATGGTTGGGATCCAAATTTTACGAAACCGGCGCGTTTTCACTTGCATTCTAAGGCGGTTTTGAAATGGAGCGGTTTTTTCACTCAGTAGCGAAAAAATTATTTCTTGGCATAGGGGTGGGGAATGCCCCAACTCATGGTTGGAGCCGAATTTTGCGAAATCGTGGCGTTTTCGCTTACGTTCTAGGGCGGTTTTGAAATGGAAATGGAGCGGTTTTTTTGCTCGATAGCGAGAAATTTATTTCTTGGCATTGGGGTGGGGAATGTCTCAACTCCATAGTTGGGATCCGAATTTTGTGAAACTGACGCGTTTTCGCTTGCTTTCTAGGGGGGTTTTGAAATGGAGCGGTTTTTTCGCTTGCTTGTGAAAAAATTATTTCTTGGTATTGGGGTGGGGAATGCCCCAACTCGATGGTTGGGAGCCGAATTTTACGAAACCGGCACGTTTTCGGTTGCGTTCTAAGGAAGTTTTGAAATGGAATGGTTTTTTCGCTCGGAAGCAAAAAAATTATTTCTTGGCATTGGTGATAAGCGCCAACAATGCTGGATTTCCAAAGCTATGTCCTTCTAGAATCCTTGCAAACGTTTACATAGATAGCTAACTTAATGAATTGATTCCAACCAATAGTTGGTTAGAAGATGAATGACTCTTAGATCGAACTTGAAATCTATGATGGTCACTCTTAGATTCCAAGACGACTCACTTCAGAATTAGCTTGATCAAAACTAATTCAATGAATCGGTTTAAACATCAAACCTAAAGAAAGGTTTGAAAAATAACACCAAAAGGTATCAATAACACACAAAGGTTTTGTTTGTATTCAACAATGATACTCAAGCATGTATTCAACAATGATACTCAAGCATGTATTCAACAACAATGATACTCAAGCATAAAACTAACTTGATTCTTCTCATCAATGAAAGCTCCATTTACTTCTACCATGTTGAAATGGACCATCATGTCCAGGACATGTTCTCTAACTGAGGTCCCTTCTTTCATACGGCAATTGTAATGTATTTTATAGCGTCATGTCTAAGGGGGAAGGACGGTTGTCCAAACATCCCTTTCAGAGATTTCATAATCTCTTTAGCAGTACCCATAACATCGTGTTTTTTAGCCAAAACATCAGATATGCTGGTTAAAAAGTACACTCGGGCTTTGTCATTTGTCTTTATCCATCTGTCATATGCATTCCGAACTGTTCGGTATGCATTTGAGCTGGGGTTCGAAAGACATTCCTCAGTTAAAACAAACCCTAAATCATCAATTACAAGTATTATGTTTAGGTTTGATTTCCAAGTTGCGTAATTGTCGCCGTTTAATTTCTCAGAAGCGAGTAATTGTACTATTGAGTTTGTCATGCTGTGATATAAAGAAAATTCTATTAGTGATTTTACTTAATCCTATTTAATCCAATCAGGTTTAGCAAATGTAATAATGTACCCAAAAGTTATTAATTTGCAACGATACTTTATTAAGTCAGAGTAACTGCTACCGAGGGGCAATCAATCACTCATTTACTAAACCAAGACATTCTTGACATAAACACTAATCCTAGAATAACTCTTTATTCCGGTAGTGTTTTAGTTATCGCCACTTTGGTCAAGAATATATTAAATATTAGTAATTCTTCGTAAGTGTGACCCGCCATTTTCAGATCTCAAGGGTCAGCTGTTGCTATCGAATGAAAAAACCAAAGTTGGGAATGAACCTAAGAAATCCTATCCATTTCAGGAGTTTGCGTTTGTTCCTTCTCCCATGTTACGACCCTCTGAATGGGTAGTTGCTCTAGGGCAACATGCAGGCAGAACATGGGAATTTCACGGTGCAACCTAGTGGTGGAGACCATAGGATGTGTTGATATACTTCCACTTACTATAAATGCTTTCTCTATTCACCTTGTTATTGACTCATGCAAATACCTTCCAAATGGAGGCCGCTCCCAGGGCGACACGAGACCGAGCATGAATCTCACGGTGTGAATTTTCAAGAGAGCGTAAAAAAGAAAATGATGTATCTCTTATACCTTTTTCCTCCCACTAATTATTTTAGATGGTTGAGTATACTCATTACTTATGTGATTTTTCCCAAAACTTACATCACTCATGCATGCTTAAAATTGGGCTAACTAAGCTCAAGTACTAGCCTAATCTCCAGGTAGCAGGTGTTCCGTAAACTGTCAACTTAAGTACCTCCAGCCTTAGACAATATCGTGTTAGATGAGCTTTCTTGTAACCGTAATCTTATAAGATATCCACCTATTTTAACTATTAAAATTTATCGTGCTTGGTTCTCAACTTTAAGTGAGCATGCCACTTATCTTTAATATAGATTTTAACGTCTATCTCATTTTATGACGTTGAAAATAACCTATAATATGCATATAACATGCTTTATATAACAATTATATAATCATCCATTCCATGCAATAATATTACCATTTATATCTATCACCCATGGACCCCTAACACATGCATACTATACATTATAATACTTATAACATACTTGTAATGCATGTAACATGCTTAGCCAATGGTGGAATTTTAAATCTATATGGCATACTTTATGCATATACATTTTCTATTTAATTAAACATACATTCACAATGCATAATTAATTAAACGCACTAAAGTGGACTAGTTTTGGCATTTACAGCAAGCAATTAACTAAATTATTACATTAATAATTAAAAATTAACGTGATCCACTCCCTCGAGCTTTCCGCGGGTGTTCTTCCTTCTTCTTTTTCGGTTCAGCTTGCCATCATTTCCATTATCGATCAATTACAACCTTAAATGGACTCTAATGACTCCATGATTTACAAACCTTTCTTCACTCATTAAAGCTCATACACATTAGGGCAATTACAATAATGGTATAAAATGGAAGCATAAAAAAAAAATGTCAAAATCATAATCATCCACCTAAGCATCCACAATTTTGACACTCAAAATTCCACTCAAATTTGCGGGGGTTTATTTGGCAAACATGCAAGTTTGGTTAAATCTAATTTTGACACTCAAAATTCCATTAACTCAAGCATGGATTTTTCCATTGAATGAAG